AATACTAGTAAGCTATGAATATCCATTATTCTTAGTGGCCAGTTTTACACACATAAAGTAGGATTATTTATTTATTTAAACATATAAACATTGACACAAAGAGGTACCGAATATATATGCACCACACTTCTTTATTCGATTTTTGTGAGTGCAGGAATACTGCCCGGGTACCCAAACCGAAGCAGTTGGTTTTCTTAGGGGGCCACTCTCCGAGCCTTTGACCTAGAGGTCTAATCCATAAGGCAGTGGAGCGACGTCAGGAGATGCAGTCTCATAGTAGCCGGTGACCAACAATAGGTTCATACGCCATTAGTTCCTTCGGGGTCACGGAGCCTATGTGCACTACTGGTTTGAGATCAGTGGAGGGGGGAGAAACGCATCCCAAACATCCTGGCATTGTTGCTCAGTGCTATCAAAAGACTGCATTTTATCAGCGTCTTCACTAAACAGGACTATATCATCTGCGTATTCTAATTCGATAAGTGGACCTCCTGGTAGGAGATCAATGCCTGAAAATTAAGTCGATGAGAATGTTATTTCTATCAGTAGGTATATGATGAAGTTAAACAAAAATAACGAAAGTGGACAGTCTTGATGGACACCACTTGAGGTTGCAAAAGCAGATGACAGTTCGCCATAAGCTCTGACTCGACTAGTAGTGTTCGAGTAAAGAACATTCACAAGGTTTATGCATTTCCGAGGTACGCCTTTCAATGACAAACACTGCCACAGAACCTCTCGGTCAACAGAGTTAGATATTGCTTTCAAGTCAAGAAAGACCACCATTGTCGGACGCCGATAAACATACCTGAGTTCTAGAACTTGACGAACGGTGAATATGTGGTCGATGCAGCCACGACCAGGTCTGAAGCCAGCCTAATTTTCTCGCATTTACAGTTCACGAGTCTTTGTTAGGTGCCCGGTAATTATTAAGGTTAATATTTTAGATGCTATGTTAGTCAAACTAATCCCTCTATGGTTGTCACGGGATGATTTTGTTAGGTAAGTAATGTAGACTGTCAACTAATAATTGAGAGTTTGTTGGGATTTTCATGGACGAGTCACCGGCGATGAATGCTGCCATAACGAATATGTATCCGAATTCGCCTCATTCGCAATATAATTATAAGAGTAAGTTATAATTTGAAAGAGACTAAACTGCAGAGGCTGCGATTCGAAATCATACTACTATTCTTTCGTTTCATGTTCACTTGAAACGTAGACAGATAAACGGAGGTTTTCAGACCTTCTATAGTTTCCGAAACTATCAGTTATTGAAGAAACAGACGGGACTTTCCACAGATATATACGAGGTCAGTTGTTGCCCAAGAAACACAAGTGGCCTAATGCGTTCCAACCGGCTGCGAAAATTCTTGAACAAAACAACACCAACTTTGTTGAGGCGAAACATAGGATTTTGAAGCTCCACAAACTGATAAGAAAAATACTCGTGTCAAGATTAATTTTTGGTGTGCTTCTTAGCACTGGATGTTGGATGGAAGCACGAGTTGAAAAATACACTTCAGAATGTCACAAGTTAATTAGTCGTGAGCTCCAGATACGTCGTCTTCAAGATAAACTGACACCTACTGCATGTCAGTTATTGAAGACTCACCTGTATTTACCTGTAACAGATGTCCTAACATAAGTCGACATATGCATGGTTGTCGACGCTACAGGCACTTACAGCGTCTCCGGCAGTTCTGCCAATTGTTCCTGCAGCTTCTCTACCGAAAACGGATTGATGTGCCGTAATGTCTTGGCCTATTACACACACACACTAATACATAAGTCAACTCAGAAATTATTACTGTCAGGTGGTTACTATCGGACAACAACCGCTCTAACGTAACTGTAGATAACTATTTCCCTGTTCAATTAAGACAGCAAAGCAACCAGAAAAAACTGTATTCATTAGTTTGGCGTATTTTAAAAGAACAATGTAATGCCGTTTATAATTTCGCGCAAAATTTGGTCTAAGAAAGGATGTTTAAATACTTTTTGCATTATCGGCAACGCCTGAGTCTCATACAGAAGCCTAAACTTTTATAGATGAAGAAATGCCGGGAATCCAATAGGTAAACCGTGCCAACTATCGAACGAATGTCGGTTTGGATGCAATGCTAAGTCATGAAGATGATGTTTCAACAAACTATGAAGAATTCAATGGCATAAATAACAACATAGACGAAGATTCTGATGTCAACGGACTGTGACGTATGCCATCATGCTCAGCCACCAAGTGGAAATACTGAAGGAAGAACATGGATTGTTTGTCACTAAAATTCTATGTTTCCTTCGTTCTGTGGTTGGAATCCACAACCACAACACATTGGACTCAATTGCCCAATATATGGTGCAATTACGGAAGTGTAACGGAAGACATGGTCATCCCAAAATTCGGTATGACGGATAAAACGATACGTTCATATTTCAGTTTCTAACTGAAAATCTAACATCAGCCCTGTTTGCAAGTTTAATATATTTTTAATTATTTACCCACTGCAATTTAGACATTTATGTCAGCTGGTTGACATTTATTGCACGGTTATTGTGATTCCCGACCCCTATTTAAAGAAACGTTTTTGGTTATGATTATAAAAATTAAAAAAGTAGTTGATTAATTAACTTGAGTTTCAACATGTATGGTTATTTGTTCACGAACAAACATTTTTTTGCATTTCATTAAAAGTGAACTGTGAATGATAGAGAACTACTTCTCGAACATGACATCGATTTGTAATTACATTAGTGATTATTGTATCTGAAAGTTAATCAAGTTTTTGATGCACAAGGAGAGAACTGATTTTCATCTTAGTATTTCAAAGAAGATAATGTAATGAAGTATATTTAAGTCACCTTAAACGTAATGAGTTAAACATTAGTGAATGAATACCAGTTTACACTTTCGTAAATGAATAAGAACTTCAGAGAAATAAACCAGGAATATTTATGTTAAAGTTGATATCTCTTTTTATCTCAATATCTATTAAGAGTCGGTGGTATATAATATGGCGATCTAATAGAATTGATATGTCCTTTTACAGAAGTTACAATTTCATATTAAACGATGATGGAACCGTCTGACAAATTTTTAAAAAAATAAAATTCAAATGTAAAAATGTACATTTTAACATCCAATCAAAACCGTTTATGCTATATTGTTTTTAACTAATCAGAATACGAAAATGTACAATTTACAATCAATTACCAACTTATTACAAGCAAAAAGGAATTGTTCATAAACACATGATCATACATATTGAAACTCAAGTTAGTCAACCAACTATATTTTTTAATTTTTATAATCATAACCAAAAACGTTTCTTTAAATATGGGTCGGGAATCACAATAACCGTGCAATAAATGTCAACCAGCTGACATAAATGTCTAAATTGCAGTGGGTAAATAATTAAAAATATATTTAACTTGCAAACAGGGCTGATGTTAGATTTTCAGTTAGAAACTGAAATATGAACGTATCGTTTTATCCATCATACCGAATTTTGGGATGACCATGTCTTCCGTTACACTTCCGTAATTGCACCATATATTGGGCAATTGAGTCAAATGTGTTGTGGTTGTGGATTCCAACCACAGAACGAAGGAAACATAGAATTTTAGTGACAAACAATCCATGTTCTTCCTTCAGTATTTTCACTTTCAGTTAGAAAAACATACTTTCGAGTCTGTTGTGTCTTTAAGTTCGACTAATTATCACGTGACTTACCCGCCAATCGGAATACGACTTATACAATCTTAGCCAAATCAATGACGTTCGATCGGTATGAGCAGTCTAGCGTCCTTAATGGTTCTTTTTCCTCTCAGCCCAGCCAGTTGAGTCTAGAACACAAATAACAACTTCCTCTATGCAAATCACTTATTTTAGACATACTTGATTTATATAGAAACCAAATGGACCACATCACACCATAAAATAGGAAATAATATTTATACAAGATCAAGCCAAAAAATGTCTGTGATTGTGGGGAATGGTAATTAATAAACTGGACATAACTTAAGGACAGTAAATCGTACAATAATAGTCTATAGGTCAAAATAGAACTTATAATGAGAGGAATATGAATATACATAATCCAATTACTTAACAATTATACAATAAGAATATATGTATAGTATTAGTCTATAAATAGATCCCAACAGTTACCATACCAGATACAACAGAGTCAATGATTACATAGTATAATATCTGCATATTACTTACAAAACAATCATCTTACCAGGGAACACATGGTTCTATTCTAAACTATACTTTTTGTAGATCAGGCCATAATCACTGATTCATGTGGTGTTACTAGTCAAACAAGTATACTACAATAGTCATTACACATATTATTCCTTTCCTTAAACAGATAGTCTATACATTCGAGTATTAATCAAGATAAGAGAATACATTTCCACAATGCCTCGTTGTGTCCCTTTATTTATTTTTACGAAAGCTGTTAACTGAAGATCGTGTGCTAATTTTTTGTCCATCTACTGTCTACTTCATTTGAGATAGCTTTGAAGAATTGACGAAATTCTTACTAATTTGCAAAACTGTGCACCGTAGATACACGGAAACAAATATGCAGGATGGAATCAAGTAACACGGTGAAGATAGTAAGGGGAATTCGGGATAATATATTGATGTGACCAACAACGCCCTGAGTCGAATTTGGGAATTCAGATTTCCAGAAGTGAAAAGTGGTACAGAAAGCTAATCAGAAAACTGAGAAACGATAGGTGCACGTGGTTGGTCAAGAAATGGCTTGTATTTTACAGAATGAGACACACCATCAGTGGCCTAATTTATATTACCTAACGATAAATTTTTAGATGTTACTGACGTGTGGATAAGTGTGAAACGTATTGTTTCTAGATATAAAGTTAATCAATATTTGTGTCGCTTCTCAAAATATACATGTTTGTACCTCAATTCGAGGAATCCTTCTGGATAATAGTCAGTCAGTCACAGTAAACGCACTGCTGTCACTTACCTGTTCAAACAGAAATAAATGGAGCAGTATTTGGATATAACGTCCAATGATCGAAAGCCGAGGGCATTAACTGTGTCATTGATCTAATACATAAATACACCATGGCTTGGTCGATAGCATTCGATCTGCACTAATAAGAACCTGACACACATGACATTGGTCACCACCCAGTGATCAATCAATTGTGATTACATCTTAGTGCCAAGCAGCACGAATCTGGGTCCAGGGTTTCCTGTCGACTACTTGCAACCACCATCTAATACACGATGACTCCTCAACCATAAGTTAACAAAACACAACACTTTTTTGTACAGTAGGACACTAAAAGATTGTGGTACACAAGATGGGATGGTAGTATTTAAAAAATAGAAGAGGGGTCACACAATGAATAAACAACTTAGCAAGAATAGCGTTTGACAAAAAATAAATATCATACAAAAACAGATTTTCTTCAGTCAACAATGTCGATTTTATGTTTGCGAAGAATGAAACAGGAAACTACAGTACGATTGATCCTGGCTTTTATTTTGATCTATGACGAAATCTGAGGCTACTGAGTTGTAATTCTTAGGGACCCACTTGAGGAACCGTGACGAGCCAACATGCATCATTTTTATACAGCCATTTTTCGTTTCATTAAACGTAAACTGACTTATCACATGCATACCACTCACACAGCTATTTAGTTACACGAATCTCAACTAGGATATTTTCCTCACGTAAGAAAAAGTTACCAGATCGACTGAAAATTATCGCACAAAACTTAATATCCAATTTTCAAACACAACAAAAAAGTATCTGAATATAGAACATTTTATTGAACACAAAGATAACTAATATTAGAACAAAGACTTAGGGGTTATGTGTTATAACTGTGTCGTTGAAGTGAACCGTTGACCTGAACTGAGATAACAAGACGCAGGCAGATGAAAGTTTATACGAACAAAACCAGATTAACAATGATTTTGAAAGGTTTAATTCACATTGATTAAGTCATATTTTAAATAAACTAAGAAGGTACTGAATGGGAGGACAATCGTTTTTTAAATAGAAGACCAATTTAACTACAACGGGGGAGGGCTATCAAGAAGCAAGTACATAAATTAATTCCACATGGATCCCTTTTAGGGTTGCTGCTGGTCCGGGTTGCTAACCTCACCCCGTAGAAGAGAGCCTTACTAAAAAGAACCTAGCAAAAAGAAGCATTTAGACAATTGAAAATCTGCACTGATAGTCGAAGGGTCTTCATATAGAAGATTTATGAAGTCTCATGGTTAAAGCCGAGATTCTTCGGAAGTCACGAGGCTGATGTCCCTTCTAATAATCAGAGCAACACCTAATATAGACACAGGTTGTTAGCACAATGTGAGAGACCGCAAGGACATTCAAATAGCGGCGGAAATGATAAGATACAACCCTGGTGGTTCTTGGAATAATTGAAACCCATTGGACCCAAGGTGGACAGAAAATATTAGCTTCGAAAGAGGTGTTGTTGCATTCTGTTCAAGGAGAGGAAAATCGCTAACACACGCAACGAGTTGCAGTGATGCTGTCCGAAGAACCACGAGAAGCACTTATAAGATACGAATCTCACGGATTCTGTGTCATTAAAGGATCTAACCGGGGACATTTAGATCTTCAGTTAACGCTCCCCCAACTGAGCTATTACGGCGGCCCTCAAATGCCCTGGTACGGTCGAGAGTGGGGAGAGTCCGCTCACCTCGAAATGCTCTCACATGGCCACGCGTATATAGCCTCTACCAGGGAAGTCCTATTCACTGCCTTCACGTGGCGGGGATGTTGTTTACTTACTACTACTACTTGAACACATAGAGATTGGTACAAGGAGGCACCAAATAGAGATATGAGCCACACAAATCTCATTTGATTTGTACGAGGGCTGTGATACTGCCCGGGTGCCCAAACCGAAGCAGGGGGGTGTTGCTTACGAAAATGAAGGGACGAAAAGTGAATGTCCGGCGCTTTAACCGGATCCCAAATCAGTGGTGCACATGGGCCGGCTCCAGTATCCTGAAGTAACAAATGTCGTATGAACCAATCGTTGGTCACCGGCTACCATGGGATTGCATCTCCTTACGATGCTCCACTGCCTTGTGGATCAGATCTTCAGGTCGAAGGCTCTGGTTGTGGTCCCCTAAGAAAACCACCTGCTTTGGTTTGGGCACCCGGGCAGTATCACAGCCCTCACACATATCCAATGAGATATGTGTGGCGCATATGTATTTGGTGCCTCCTTGTACCAATATCTATGTGTTAAAATAAATAAAAATAAATAAACATTAAAGGATCCTTAAAAACAAAGGAAGGGATTACAATAAATCTCATTTTGTGACGCGTTCATCGATGATAACAATGGGGACCATAAAATTAGTTTTATAAGAGGCAGTAGTTAATTGTATTAAACTGTCCGGGAAAAGATCAGACCATACTGATGGGAGCTCTAAAAACGCCAATGGGAATGGTCAACACTAGATATGATATTATGAAATGACATAGACTTGGAGAAAGGAACAAAGTTGCTGAGAGGCTAGTAAATCTATGTGCTTTCAACAAAATGATCACTGTTGGTACCACTTTCCCTCCAAAACGTACACACAAAGTTTCACGAGACCACGCTACGGAGAACCAGATCGATCGCATCTGGATCAGCAGAAAATTCGGAAGGTCCATGGAAGACGTAGGGACAAAGGGAGGAGCTAATATGACTTCATGTTACCACTTGGTGGTTATCAAGCTGAAATTGAAGTTAATGAAGCATAGAACAATTAGACAAGCAACTCAACAAAAATTCAATTAAAGTCCTTTGAAATACCAGCAAATTAAGCGAATCAAGAATAGCTCTCAGAAATAGATTCCAAATCTTACAAGATCTACTACGAAGAGAAACCCTTATGGAGAATAATAAGGAAGGAAATGGGAAATAACTTCAACATACCAAGTGCCGGGGCTCATGACGCACTCGTTAACAGAATGATTTTTCATTCATAATCTGGGCAGGATTCAAGACAATAAAAACAAAAAGACAACAGTCAACAGCAGCTAAACAGGAAGAGAGACGGCTAGGGTACAGGTCGAGTGTACAGAAGGAAACAAGTGAGTGAAGAAGAGTATTAGAGCTGACAAACAGGAATATATAGAGGACCTAGAAACTATACAATCACTTACATTTGTCAGTTGTAACATTTTGATTCTAGTCGTGCAACTAGTTCAAAGTAGCTATAAAGCCTGACCAATCATTAGGATAAACAAAACCCATAAATTACTGTTTCGATCCAGTTAATCTGGTTTTAGTATATCTAAGCCTTGTTCCTTGAGTAGCGCTATATACGTACGTATCTGCTTTCCTAAAGTAGAAGGGTTACGTTGAGGCTAATGCAGGCAAAACGCGATCGAACAAACAGTTGCACAATACATCAAATATTTTGGAAAGGAAATAAATGAAACGGAAATGAAAACCTAGACGATGAATCGAAATGAAGGAGGCTATGATGTTTGTCATTAGTAAGTAATATCATAGGAGAAAGGTTGCAGAGGCTTATTCTACACACACAGTTTGTGTAAATTTAATCCAGACATAACCGAGGGTTAAACAATGAAAGGTATACAAAAGTACACTATTTTTGTCATATTTTATACTACTTGACTCGAAATGGTGTATGTTGTGATCTCATGATCTATGTCGAAGTATGCGATTTTGTGGGTTTAATGAACAATAGAACTATACTGAATCAGCGATGTCAAGTGACTCTAAAAGTGATCTTGTCAAATTTTACTTAGATATCATCCACTTAGAAGGTAGACGGCATCTTAACAAATTAGTTGTAGGAAAGTGAAGTAGGCTGTGTTTAAGAGTTAAGACTGAATGAAGAATATATTGTAAGTAAATGAATGAATATCTAAGAAGTTTTTTGTTCGCCTTGAGACTTAAAGAAAATTCCATGAATTATGTTAAAATTCTAAACAAACCTCATTTCTATTCGTTTTATTCTACTTTATGATGAAAGGTTCTTGCTCAGTAGTTAACATGCTACAAGTTACAAGTAATGAATAATTACAGTTGTCGATTATTTAAATCACTCATAATTATGGATGATTTTTGAGAGATGCTAAACGGATTTCCCAAAAATCCACTTTCCTTCTAGGGACATAACATATAGTCCTAGATAAGTGTGAGGAATTGGGTTAACGTTCTAGAGTTGGAAACTAAAGTTAGGGACTGGAGTTAACCCAGGCTCTCAATTTTAAGGAAAACCCCAGACCAATGGGTATGTTCATAATTTCCCCAGCTTTGAGGGAGGGCTTTCATCACGAAATGATGCCAGCTATAGTTCCAGAACGTTATTTATACGCACAAATGAATGAACTTCGTGCTACAATCCAAGACTTACCTAAATACGATTGCTTTGTTCAGAAATTATAGTTCCAGTACAGTACCCAGTGGCATTGTCAGTTAATGAAGGTTGCTGAGCCCTTGAAGGTCAAAACATCGTAAAACGATTGTTGCGACCCCTCGATAATTTGTAAATTCCTCCCAAGGCGGTCAAAGCAAGACAGTTTCAAATTAATTTGACCCAACCTGAGTCTGATCATAGGCTCCAATAAAGCGGTGAGCCCTCCGACAACGAACCTAACGCAGCAAAATATGTCGTTGATAAAGCTTCTGAAATTTCATTCTTTTAACGAACAAACTCAGAGAATTCAGCTCAGTCGATAAACAACGCATTTCGAGAATCTTTGGTTAACTATGCCAAGAACACTATCTCATGGTTAGCCATTTACTGTTCGATTACATTATTATTCTGTCGAACGGTTACCTACAACTCTGGGTTGTCTGTCCATAACTGTCGTTGCAAATTGAAAATAGGTACCATGGTAATAAGAGGGATTTTTATTGATAAGTAAGATTACACAGACGAAACCGATCCTTTGATTGAACATTGTATTATTACGATACTGTATCTAGATACACTGGAGCATTAAGACGATAAACGGTTTCGATATCGATTGTTTTCAGCATAGCTTATGATAGAAAATATATCCTCGCGTATCAATCCATTTTAACAGCTAGGCAGGTTTCCTACCAAGTTCAATCCAACGAATAATCATTCTAGACTCTCTCGTCTTTTACATTTCACCTATACACCTGAAATAACCAAGCCGACGGGAACACAATTTGTGGATGAATCGATGAAATTGATTATAATGGATTTTAGATTTAGGTGCAGAGTTCATACATGTATGCGGATAAATAGCATTCTAGGATCATGGCTAGCGTCAGTTTGTGATGTAAAGCCTTACTCCAATTCTTAACTTTAATTTCTAACTCTAAAACATTTTCTTAATTCCTCACATTCGTTTTCAGCTAATTTTCGACCCCAGTGAGTAGATGAATCTTCAAAAATCCCTATGGTGCCTCTCGAATTTCTCCCGTGAATGATGATCCTCCAGTGAAGTTGCCTCTCTTTTGTCAGCGGATGACACCAAATTAGGAAGGCCGATGTACAGTGATGGTTATAAGATAGAATTACAAGGTTAAAATACTATCTTCATGACCACTTAAGTCCGAACCCTATTTCATATTACTTTGAACCGATTATACTTCTCCCCCATATCGATTCATAATACCCACTTGCCTAAATATCTTTTCCT